TCAAATAAATATTAATATAGAAGTGTGAAAAATATAAAAAAAAATATATAAAAGCTCGTAATGATAAGCTTTACAACTTGCTCGAGGGGCTCAACTTCGAAATTTGCCACTATATTGCCCAAAGAGTTTTTAACGGAATGACCAAAATGATGGATGGTGGACAATTTTAGGAACCATTTCTATTGATTTTCAATCTCAGGGACCAAAGTGATGTGTTATGCAAATCTCATGGACCATTTTGGCTATTGAGCCTTAAAAATTTAAACAATGATGGAACTAACGTCTACACGTGGAGGATGCAATCACGACCGTTTATATATTCTTTCACATTTTTCACACTTGTACATTAATTATTATGATTTTTTTTTAATATTGGACTCCCTTATAAATACTATTCACGAGATTTTGTAGCGCTTTAAAAATTTAAATGATGATGTACCCATCTCAAAACTTAAAGGATGCGATCACAAGCATTTGCATATTTAACGGTCGATTGACGTTTACGCTTTAATCTTCTCACCAAATTTCATTTTTCAGATTTTCTTTTTTGAAAACATAATCTTTTAGCATAAGTAAAAAATGGAAACCTCATGCCTCTTTCTTAAAGGATAAATTAGAATTAGATGCCTCATTATAGATTTTTCTAAATTAAACATCTGTTACTTTTCAACTTTTGATTAAAGTGCTTTTACTTTTAATTAAATTTTATATTCCAGGTATATTCTTAATTTAAATATTTTATAAATTTTTTTAAATCCATTTCTATGTAAAAAAAAAAAATGCACTCAATAATATTCATTAATTTATTGCTATTTTTATGGAATCTCATCCGTTCCTCAATTTAAGGATTCAATTATATCTACTGGGGTTCAAGATTAATTGGATGAAATATAGTTTTTCCAATTTCCAACTCAACATTTTATATAGATTATAAAAAAAAAAAAACAAGAGTCGTTTATAATTAAAATTGAGATTTAGTTTTTTGGGTTACACAACTTACACATAATGTACCATAAGTTTTGTACGTACCAAAATAAGGATAATACAACGTACTAATAACTTGGTACGTACTAAATAAAGAATTGTATAACGTACCAAAAGCAATATTTTATAACGTGCCAAAATACCAATACGTACCTAGATTAAATTTATATAATGTACCAATAATGTACCAAATGATTGGTACGTTATATTTAATATATCTATTTGGTACGTTATATTTAATATATCTGTTTGGTACATTATATTTAATATATATGCATGTTATATTTCATAATTGTATGTTAATAGGATGTTTATGTGTTTTTAGAATTTAAAACAACAAATTATTTGAATAAGAAAAATTCATTTTGAACGAATTATGATAAGATAAGATAGGATGTTTGTGGTGATTTTAGAATATTTGTGATATTATTTTCTGAACTAGTTCGTTAATTAAATACAATAAAAATCATAATTTTAATTAAAAATTAGTAGAATAATGTTTGATCAAAAATTTAAAAGTTAAAGATATTTGATTAAAAAAATTCAAATTTGAAGCATCTATATCAAAATGCTCCTTTCTTAAAAGCCTCCTCTATGTAATGCAAAGTACACCACATATCTAATGGCCTTTTATTTTTATTAATACTTATTTGACATGGAACTAATAATGCATGTTATGGTAAGGTCAAGATTTCTGCACGCCAATTTAGTCATCCATAAGTGTCCCCACGCAAATTTATATCGAAAACGACTTGCACATAATTTCGAGGTAATAAAATAAAATTGTCAAGGTCACTTGCTGACAAAATTATGCAAAACGATGTATCTTATTCCCTTGTTATCATGTATGAGGTTTTCAATGTTGAAATGTTGAAAGTGATCACTAATGTCAATGTCTGCTATGGTATGGAAGAAAATAAATGCATGGTTGGACCAGAAAATAGAAACCTGTCAATGTCATACTTTGAATCTTCCAAACCCAACTAACTCATTCCTAGTGAATGCTGTTCAATAACTGAATAAGCGATACTGGGCTTGCTATGAGCCCGCCCGCACTGAATCTTTCTATTCTGTTTCTTCTAACCAGCGGGCCCGCCACTCCCCCTTCATGCGCTGCTGCAACTTGTTGTACCCCTTGGCCGACTTGCATTTCTTATCCATTTGGCGTGGATGCAAGATCCAAATATACACTCAAACCCAAATTCCTATTTTTCCCACCTCCTAAATACATCCTTTGGAGATAATTTGGACAAAAAACTTAGGTTTTATCCATAAACGTTCCACTCAAATTTATATCCAAACAACTTGCACTTGCACCACATAATTTCGAGATGGATGGTATTTGGTTGCTGAAAAATCAACATAATTCGAGATGGACAATAGTTGGCTACTGAAAAATCAGCAGTTCCTCCTGCTAGCCAATCACAGATGAACACGTGTTTAATCTGTGATTAAAAAATTAATTACTTGGACACATATCCATCTGTGATAGACATCAACAGGGTCTGCTGTTGATTTTTCAGCAGCCAAATTATATTCCTTCGTGATAACAAAACAGTCAAAATCATGTGTTAATGAAATTGTGGAAATGGGTGGGGAGTGGATGATTGGATTATTACTTAAATGTTTTTTACAAACGATATTATTTACAATAAAGGGGTGGGGAGTGGGCTAAGCCTCACAATGGACTAGTAATAATGTGGTTCAAGTTCTCTTTTGCTGAGAATCAAGCCTAAGAACTCTCACTTACCATTGAAGAGGAAGATCATGGCGATTATTACTTAAGTGTTGATTAACGTGCTTATTTTCTATTAGTAACATCATTTGGTTTGCAAATTGGGTTTAAAAATTTGATATTCCTAGCATTATCCTTTTTTAAGTATAGAGTATTTAAGCAATACTCTGCATGCCATAATACAAGTGAAGCAAATGATATATTTTTTTGTGTCCTTATTTTGTAACACATGGAGTACTTACTTAAATATCGGATACTCGAAAAAACTTTTCCTAACTAAGAAAGTTCAAAGATTAACGTCAAGTACTAATTCCAAGTCGCTCATTTGGCACTTACAGAGAATACACTTGCATGTGTGGTAGATAATGATTAAGAGGTGATTTCCTCGTTAACTTTTATTTTCCACATACTCCTTTTTTAATAGTCTTTTATATATTTAATAAATCAAATCGACAAAGAGAAAACGGCAGTGCAAATATATTCTACTTGTAATTAGGGTTGGTTTGGTTTAGGATAGCGAACCGAAATGGTCAATTCAAAAACTGAACCGAAACTGTTCGGAAAAAGAGGGCAAAGAACCAAAACCAAACCAATATTTCGGTTTTCTCGAAATTCGGTAATATCAAAATAGTTTCGGCTATTCTGTTCGGGCTCGAGAATGGGCCTTCAGGTCAAATTTTTTGGGCTTCTGATTTCAAGACCAACAAAACCCAATCTTGCCCAAAATTTTTCAGCCCCAAATATTAAGCTATGGGCCTATGCTCATGTGCTCTATTCCTCTCCATATCCTGAGCAAAAATACTTGTGATTATTAGAATTACATCCATTTAATGAAAAAGTTCGTATCTTACTACCATCACATCAATTTGAAAATTTCTATAGAAGGGAAACAAATTGCTGCAATTGCATTAGTACACCATTACAGTACAGACCTCAATCCCTAATCTCAGCAATCCCCTCAACCATTACATGAAAGGTCTGATCTCAACAATATTCTATTCTCAAATCAAAATTCGAAACCCAATTGGAACTCTAATCCCCATTTCAAAATCCCAAATCTAAATCCTAATTTAAATATGATGAATTAAAGGGAAAATTTCTTACATTGAGCGAGACTTGATAGAGAGAAAGTCGAACATGAGTTGAGATAGATGTATGGTGTTGTGGGTGTGGTGTGTCGGAGTTGAGATTGATCGAGAGAGAGAGTCAGCGAAGGTGAAACACAGACAGAGGTCGAGAAAGAGGGTGGGTGAGGCCAGAGTCGAGATCAGGTGGTTTGGGCTCAAGTGGGTCGAGTCGAGAGAGACAAAAATTGGGTTACTGGGTTAAGGAAGAAGAGAAGATGAATTGAAGAGAAGAGAGTCGAGAGAGAGAAACGGATCGAGAGATAGAGAGGAGTTTCAAAAGAGAGAGATAGTTATGGAGGTCATTGTGATGTGGCATGGGTGGTCGGAGTGGGAAATCGGGCGATGAAGTTAGGGGAGGAGGATAGCTCAGGGAGTCGAGGTTCAAAGTTGGGACAAAGAGTCGAGAGAGAGAGAGTGATCTGAGTGAGATGAGGCGGAGAGAAAAAGGTTGGTTTTGAGTGAACGGTTGAGATTAATCCGATGACTAAAAAATGAATATTACAAATCAAAACAATATATATATATATTTCGGTTCGGTCTAGTCCTATCGAACTAATCTAAATTTCATGCCAAATCTCTTATCGAAATTTTCGATTTTGGTTCAACTTTGGGTAAAAATTTTCGGTATTGTCCATCCGGTTCAGTTCGGTTTTGATAGGTTTGGTTTTTTTGGTATTTTATTCCACCCCTGATTGTAACACAGTGGCTGTCTTTGCTTCTCTCTCCCTTTTCTTTTGGTCATGTGCCTACAAACTTAAATTTAAAAAAAAAAAAAAAAAAAAAGAAGAAAAAAAAAAAAAAAACTATGTGGTAAACAATTGAAACCGCATTGTTTAATAATAATTCCTAATGAAAACTAGTAACAAACATAACTCCATAGAAATTCTAACTAGTCATATGTACACATTTAAAGTGCAGAGTCAAACAAATGCAGGCAGATGGAAGCACTCATGGCAGCCAACAAAATGCCAGAGAACCGTTTGAGACCAAAACTTTCGCTGCTCAGAAAGACCCAGTAGCAGTTTGACAGGCTCGCCCTTGTTACTCATGCTAAGTTGGCGATATCAGATGCAACATGGGACACGGAAGAATTCCCCAATTCCCCAAGACAGCAGTCACCGGCAGGAATGAGAAAAGCTGAAAAGATATAACCATCAAAACGATTTCTTCTCGTAAGAAACCAGACCATGAACTCCACCTTCTACTTGTGCTGCTCCTGTTCTTACCTGCATAGTAAAATACATTGTCAACTAATTGAGAAACCATATTAGTCCTTGATACGACCATCATTACATCTCAGATTCCTTGAGCAATAACAAGGTAATCGTGGAGTGCACTTTTCCTTGAGGTAATATGTAGGGATGGAAAACTATCTAAGAAGTAAGCGGTGTCAGGGAAAAACCTGAGAGGTTACAGGTTTCTTCTCTGTAAGTAAATAAGTGTCTGAATATGAGTGACACACAATGGCAATACTCTAGATTAATAGGTTTCTTCCCCACTCCTTTCGGTAGTTTAACCTAAGAGTGTTGAACAAGAATACAACATGATATGGAACAGACTACGAAAGAGTAAGTTACCGAAAGAAACATTGGCTACAATATCATTTCTCATTTAAAGTGTAGAACTAAAATATCCTTAATAACGATGATATGAGTAACACAACAATGTCTGCAAAATGGTCAACTTACCTCTAGCTTTAAAACACTTGATTTTAAGAGGCCATGAGCAGACTGCAATGAAGAAGCACCAAGATCTTGGAAACCTTGTTTCACAGCTTGCATTGTGTATGGTATGAACTTCAAAACAGAACCTTTGTCTGCAACTGCCCCGACAACCCCCTGTGCGATTTTCAGCTTAGCTGTATCGCCCAGTACCTCTGATCACTCCCCTTTGTCATTGCTTCAAGAGATCCCATGCCTCGATATTTTTGACTTGGCGACCATTCTAATAGAAAACATGAAATCACTTATATCAAACTGTTTCCTCAATAGAGATTATGCATGCAGAGCTAATCAACAATGACAAAGAAATAACAAACAGCATGTTGCTTGTAAAAGACAAGTATGCTGAAAGCTCAGTGCAATTTATATATACAACTTTTGCCTTTAGTTCGGAAATAGAGGAAGATACACGTCATTTGGGTCATAGATTGGATTAGCAAAGGCCCTCTGTTCAAAATTAAAAAAAAAAATTCAATCAACTGTTTAGTAAGATATTACCATTAAAAAAAAAAAAAAAAAAAGGAAACATACAGAAATGAAATACTATGTCCACTACAGTACCCCATGACATGCATCCATGAAAAATCCAATCACAATTTCAGGGAACCAGGCCCTTACCTAGCCTAATCCTAACCCATTTTGCCACTTGCTCTCAAGTTATGAAATGCAGTGATACGCAAACTCTTTTTATGGTTCTAATCCATGAGCATAGTTGCACTCATGAGAACCACTTGAGTTAACCCGAAGAAGTCCAAAAACTCTGACTGTATGTAGGCTTCAAACTTATTAAGTTCAGGTCATCAGGGAGAGAGTCCATGCAAACATTCCTAATGATGTAAAAGCATTAAAGATTGATGGAAAACTATAAGACATCAATGACCGATCCGTCGAACAATATTGATGCAGTCCAAAAAGTTTGATAAATGACTCAGGATGTCTAACAAACTTAGAAACACATCTCTTATAGGTAAGTTTCTTTACCAATCACAATGTAATTCAGTATTCATACATCTGCCTAATAAACTCCTTAACCCACTCAATAAGTTGTCAAAGAACTAGAAAAGAGATATTGTAGTAAACACTGAGAGAAGTGTTAAAGTATATTTTATATCTGATGGTACGAGAAGGTATACCTGTTCCAGCAATAAAAACATGAGTAAGTCCCAGACATACCTGATACACAAAAACCCGGGAGCCTCAGTGCTTCCAGCTAAGAAGCTTCCCATCGTGACAATAGAATCCCCAAGGACCAAAGCCTTGACAATGTGTCCAGAATTGGAAATTCCACCATCAGCAATCACAGGCACACCACTTTGTGAAGCAATAGATGCAACCTTGTAAACAGCAGTTGCCTGAAACATATAACCAAAACCAAAACAATTGTTTGTCGCGCAAATATTTAAAAATTCGTTTTTTATTTAAAAACTGGACGCACGACAAAAAATAGAACACTGTCGTTGCGCAAACATATAAAAAATTGATTTTTTGGTGGAAATTGGGCGCTTTTTTAATTTTATTTTAAAAACACTCTATCTCTCTCTCATTCTCTGTGTCGCTCACTCTTCTCTCACTCTCTGGATTCTCTTCGAAGCTTACTCTCCTCTCTCTCTTCGATTCTTAGTCAATCTATCTCTCGCTTTCATCACTCACTATCTCAGTCTCTCCCTCTCTCCCTCTCTCTCTCTCTTTGAGTTTCTTTGCCTCTCTGTCACTCTCTCCTCCGTACCTGACATCTGCCACCGCACTCCAGCGCCACACCAGCTCACCGCTGCCGCACCATTACTAGGTAAGCACCCAATATCCCTTAATTCACTCTCCCTTAATTCAATTATTTATTAGTGCAATTTTTCATTTTTTCTAGTTGAATTGTTTTAATTAGAACTTAGGGATTTACGGTTCGAATTGGGAATCCTGGGTTAGGGTTTTCAAATTGGGATTCTTGGGTTAGGGTAATTAAGAATATTGGGTTATGGTTTTCGAATTGAGAATATTGGGTTATGGTTATAAACAAAACTGGGTATCGAATTGGGAATCAAATAGGGGTTTCGAATTGGGATTAGCTACTAGGAAGGAGAGGAAGTCCCAACAAATTCCATTAACAAAACTGGGTATTGGGATTAGCTACTAGGAAGGAGAGGAAGTCCCAACAAATTCCATTAACAAAATTGGGTATTATACATTAAGGAATTTGAAAATTTTACTTTGCATACTACTATCATAGGTCAAACTCATTAAGAAAATTGGGTATTTTTTACATTAACAAAATTGGGTATTTTTCACTATCATAGATCAAATTCAGCAAAGATTCGTGGAATAGGTAGCAAAGAATAAGAAATAGGGTCTGCTTGATAATTGTTTTGTTTTTAATTAGAAAAATAAAGGGGAAAAGAAAGAGACAAAGGAAACTGAGTAGCCAGATGATAGTGGTGACTAGTGAAACAATCAGAGAAGCTTGAATGCTATTTTTCGTTTGGGAATCTGTACTATATATGTTGGTGTGTGTGTGTGTGTAGGTGGGTAGATAATATTGCTTTGAATTAATTTATATGCTATTTCTCATTCCCATTCCCCACCAAACTATGGCTATAAATCATGCCACCAACACTCTAGATTATGCGGTGAAACCATGCTGCCTATAGCTAATACCCTTATTTTTGCTATTTTGCTATTTGTTTCCCTACACCAACCATATATGCTATTGTCTTAAATACTTTGCCCTAGCTGTATATTCAAATAATTTCACTAGATTTGGTGTTTTAGTTTGGTTTTGGATGTTTTTCCCAAAAAAAAAGAAGACAAACTTAGTTTATCTCTCTCTCTGCGTAGGATTCGTTGGTTATGTTTTTTATAAATATTTGATAGCTTTTATATGCAAAACATAAACAAAAACATGTTGGTGTTGGTGGATTATGTATATTATGCACTATGTAATATACTCTAATAAATTGACTAAAAGTAGTGGAATGTAACTTTATTATTTATTATTTTTGTAGATGTCGAACTTAATTTCAAACGTCTGGGTAGCTAATAGGGCCAGTCAGACACCTTTTCTAGCAGGTAATGCTGCTGCCACCTCCTCACCTGATTTGGGCAGGAGGGGTGTGTCTCCAGTCCTGCCTTTCGATCCAATGCTTTCCGACTCCTACTTCATTGACTTCTTCAGTGACGCATCCTCCACCAAGCACCAGTAGACTCATCGCTGGCCCCGGAGTTCTGGGGAGGCTGAGCAGTCTGGTGAGGCTTCCTCTGTCCATGGAGAGGGGTCTAGACAAGTAATGCATCTTTCTCATAGTATTTTCAATTTAACAATTTGGAATTTAGATTGAAGTCCGCAATTGGTATAAAGTGTTTGAATTGTTGGGTGGATGTGTTGTTTTTGTTGTTATATTGTTTGCAGGTTCTAGGAAATGTTATAGTTTTAGGGGAGGTTCTGCAAAATTTTCAGTAAAAAATAGAATTTATTTGATGTTTACTTTGTTTATTGTGTAGTTAAAAAAAAAAAAAAAAAACTAGGGGCCTATGCAAACTTCAGAACACATCACAGACCACTCGCACCACAAACTAGAAGATCACCATTACGTGGGATCCTTGACATCATGCGGCTGCAACAAAGGAGCAGTATAGTGCGTTGGCCAATGACATTGTCTCGGCTATACAAAATCATTGCCTGCTCTTTTGCGGGTCTTGGAAAGCTGTCCCACATGAAGTCAAGCGTGACGTTCTTCATGAATTATTGGTAAGTATTGTCAACCTCAAATACTAATTTTTTATTAAAGTATACAAATATTATAAATTTTAACTACTATTTATTTTTGGAGTTTTGCAGCATCACTATGAGCTCACAAACCTCGATGACAATCAAGACCAGTACATCAACGAGCATTGCACCAACAGGTTCACTCAGTGGAAGAACGATCTCCATAAGCATTATGAGAAATATGACGGTTTGGAGGTCGTTCTAGCAGTTGGGTGCCCTATGGAGTTGGTGGACCACCAGGATGAAAGAGAGTGGCTCTGCGGCCATTTTCAGGAGAAGAAATACCTCATAAGTATAATATATATTTCAATAGTATTTAATCAAAATTTTTATATTTATAAATATCTTAACTAACACATTTTTTTATTCAACAGAAAAAAGTGTAGGCAAACTCGATCAATCGGTTGAAGAAGAAACTTCTTCATTGCTCCAGCTCACGATGACACACCCCGAGCTGGAATGTCCACCTGGACTCCGAATCAAGCTGTGCTAGCCGACACCTGAAGGGTGACGAAACCACAAGTGTAGTGATGTGGAAAATGTGAATAAATTTAAACCTAAGAGTGCCTAATTACAAGAGTGCGCATGTGAGTGTGAATGAACCCATTTCACACGTAATGTTAGAGCATAAGTAAAGTACAGTAAAGTAGGATAAGAGTTATACCATCGAAGGTAATCTCTAATACCAAAATTTACCAAGAATCCTCATAGATATGTAAGCTCAGCTACTAAATCCTGGAGGGACAAAAAACAAGGGTGAGTGGGCCTGAAAATAAAGTTTTATAAAAATATTTCCGAAAAACATAATAGCCCCTCGCCGTAAAACAAGTATAGTTTCCAAAATATACATACTACGTATAGTAAGAAAATACTTACTGTAGCCTGCAAAATCTCAAGAACTCAATACGTCACAATATTTCGTAAGTAAGCACATGTCGTTCATAAACATATAGTCTCGCATAAGCAAACATATCATATCGAGTGCTCATCGACACATGCTGACACACGAGTTCATGCAGAGTTATTCTGACATGAACATGACTGGGTGTAACGATGATATACGCTCTAATACTACAATCACGTGAAGACTGACGCTATGCGTAGCACATATGAGTCCTAATCGCCTTTAGTAATCTAAGACAGGACTAGCACGTACAATGGATCCAAAGTGAATGTATGGTGCGTTGTGCACATACACATGAAAGACTGCCCTTGGCCGAACGAGTACTAACACCGGTGTAGCAAACAATGAGCAAATAATATAAGTATAGTCATGCCACAATGATTCGATAATTCGCATCGACATAATAGTAATACTTAAGATATTAATCATGGTCGTAATTAAAATCCCATAAAGGTACGCATACATGTGCATCCCATAGGATTTATGATAATTTCGAAATTTTCCGTTATTTCGCTAATTCTTATAAGCATTATTCTAATCTAGGCATACGTAGGAAATTCTTTTTCAAATGTATAAATGGAAACTAAATAAATATATAATATTTAAAAGCAAAGACCCACTCACAATTCATGCCTTCGAGTCGAACCCACCTTGTAACATCGAGAGTCCTTGCGATGCGTTTTGCCTAGAAACAAAACCATTTACATAAATATGTAACGTACTAAATTATAAACTCGTTTTCGTACAAGGTACGACTAATAAATGAACTATTTTAGAATGGTCGAATTTCAGAAAACGGAGGGCGAATTCGGGTCCGCCACGTTAAGAAACCTAAGGAAGGACCTTGGGTTCCTCCACACGCCGCCACAAGTGGCTACATAGGAAGCCACGTGCCGAACACCCTCACGCATCCACACGCGCCTACGCAAGGTAAGAAAAATTTGAATTTTCTTCTTCTTGAATTTTTGGGGAGCCTTGGGGTTTGAAAGATTGCCTCAGTGTGGGCCGAGGTGCTGTGAGTGACACATGGCATAGAAGCCGTGGGCTGCAGTGCATGGGGTTGGCTGGGGCAGGCCCTGGGGTGCAAAAAGGCCAGCTCAAGCAGGTCTCTTGGAGCTGCTTGGCACGGACCTGGGCTGGCTCACGGTAAGGGAGAAAGAGAGACTGTCTAGGGCCGGGTCTCTGCTGAAAGTTAAGTGGGCCGGTCTTGCTGGGTAGCTTGGTGCGTGAAGAAGGAGAAAGGGTGGAGGCGTGAGTCTTCCTTTTCGTTGGGTAATGCTGGTCGGGTCGCATATGTAAGGTCCTGAGGCCTTCGAGTCGTCCTGCCATATATATATGTATATATATATATATATATATATTCATATATCATTTTCTTTTTTTTTTAGCTGCCCTCTAAATATTTTTTCTTCATGCTTTTTGCAGAGACTCTACAATGTCTTATTCTGATCGCAAAGCTGACGAATATCCTCATCCTTTGTACTGCCAAGGTGGTTCTTACAGCAAGGTAAGGTACTTCAAAGCTGCGCATGTCAAGATTAATTTCGATAAGCTGTTTCAAGATTTTCTTAAGGCGTACAAGCATGCGATTCCGTCAAGGGTTCGCGTCAAGTGGGTGAAAGATGACAACGATTATGAACCATGCGGCGAGGGTGCCACTACTAGGAAGAGAGATATCAAATTCCATCCATACTATTTTG